TATATATATATATATATATATATATATATATATATATGATAATATTTTATAAAGACTTTCTCTTTCTTTTTAATCTCATGTCATAATATTTATTTTGACTTTTCAACTTGTAATAAATTAAATGTCCTTATTATTAGTACATTTGTAATAAATCCAATGTTACTTTTACTATTATATTGTCCATTATTTAAATGTACTAGAGTGTCTTACTTAAAATACATGTAGAATAGTACCACAGTGTTGACTTTTTACGTTCCTATACTTATAAATATAAAAGACTTCATATTATAGACATATGTGAAGATGATGGTGTGGTGGTCGACCTTTTTGGCATGCCACCAACATGCTAGAAGTTCGAAACCCATGAAAGCAGGCCCTTTTATTAAAATGCATAATAGGGATACGGCGTGTCTAAGAAGTGTCGGTATACTAAACACTAGACATGTATAGACAAAGTGTCTATAGCATGTCTAGACTTATCAACACATGTCGATACACAACACCAAAATTTATTGGAGTCTCTAGGTAACACTGGTTTCTTTTTTCAAACCCAGATAGGGTATTAAAATCATGGGGATATCTTTCTTTTACATTAAGAAACAAATCACATGAATGACCCATAAAGGCCCCATTGTACCTCAAATTACATTTTATTTGCGTTACAATACCCAAAACAGCCTTAGCCAAAAACAAAATTGACTAATTAGTCCCAACTTAACCACAAAATCTGTAAACAATTTTAACCTAGATTAGATAAAATATTCCATAAACACTCCAAGTACTTTTCTAAACAGCTCCTAATCCTAAAAATATATAATAAAAAAATAGAATCCCTAAAAAAATAAAACTCCTAAAAATAAATTCTAAATATACATCATTTGAAATTAAATAAAGATAAAATAAAAGAATAATTTTGCCATGCATCAAACTCCCCTAGTTGGAGAAAACTCATCCTCAAGTTTTGAAATAGGCTAAGATGAATCTTGCACTAAATTCATTATCTTCAAATTGAACACTGTGTCTTGAATCCTAAGACCTAGCATTACTGGCCTGATAAAGATGGAGCCATTGTGCATCATGATGCAGTCTTTGCAATCCAATAATATACTCAAAAACTATTTAGAGAACACAACGAGAAAAGGGTCTTTGTATGTCGATGGAGTAGCTATGAGACATGTGCTTGGTTCAGCCTAAGAACAAACCAAGAGAGCATCTTCATGATGAGCGCTAGATATGACGACCGAACCAGTAGCCTCACCTATTGATTCTCCTTGGACTTCTTTATCTTGCTGTTCTCTACAAATATCGCCCCAAATCATCATCAAAGATGGGATCACTATCAAAAACACGACACTAACTTTATCAGAAGGTTCTCATCAAACATTGGATCACCTATAAAATAACCACGATCATCAAGGATGTGGGGAAGAAAGTCCCTTCTCAGTTCCTTGGCTACTACTCGAGGGATAATCATGCTATAGCAAATCACCAAATCTTCCCAGTTATTGAATGCAACTTCAGGCTCATCTTCTTCTGACACGTCACCAAAAACAAGGTCCATCAAATGATAGCATGTTGTCCTCTTTGAAAATTTCCTCAAAAAGATTCACAAATTTTCTATTTGGTCACTGAGAAGTGGCATCCAATTCCCCAACACTTAAAGCACTTAATAATGTTGCTGTTTGGGTGATTCAGGCGACCTGAACTATTCCCAACACCTACAGAATCCTGTCATTTGGATGAACCAGCAGGCTATGAGGTCTGTCCAGCCACCAAATTCTCATTTTTCCTTTGAATTCAGTTCCACTGCCACTTGTACTACCTTGGCCTGTATCCCACTTCGATGACGGCTGCCTCTGTTGAGCCTCAACCTCAACTGCAAGCTTGTAAGCTTCTTCTAAGATCCAGTAACGCTGCAAAACCGCCGAGGACATCTCGTATGGATGTCCTCAATCCACCAACATAGCGAGCTCTCTTTCTGCCACCATTGCGGGCCATCAATTGATAAAATTCATCGATATACTCCTTTACATTCTTTTCTCTCCGATGAAGATTATTTATTCTAAGATAAAAGCACCATAAATAATTTTTAGGTATGAAGAAGGTAGGTATTCTTCCTTTAATTTCTTTTCATCCTCTCCCAGGTTTAATTTTGGGCTTTCCCATTCTCTTCCCTATAGTCCTAAGTTGTTCCCACCATGCTGAGGCACCCTTCTTCAATTTTATGGCAATAATTTTTAGGAACTTCCTTAGAAATAAAAACTGTTTCTATATTATTTAACCAATATATAAACTCCTCGGGCTGAGGCTTTCCATTCATCATCATCATCGTCCAAGCCTTGTCTCAATTATTTGGAGTCAGCTACATGAATTATGTTCCTCTATAAAGGCCCAAACCCTTAGTAAAACCAAAAGTCACTAATACATGTCCTTTTGGGCCTTCCCCTTGCCCTTTTAGAGCCTTCCACTTGAACCAACTTGTACCACCTTACAGGTATTGTATTAGGTCTCTACACTGCACATGGCCAGCCCACCTAAGTCTACTTTCCCTCATCTTATTACCTATTGAAGCCACACCTAAGTTCCCTCATATGTATTCATTCCGAATTCTATACTTTCTTGTCTTGCCACTCATCCATCTCAACATCCTCATCTCAGCTATACACATCCAATTTTAATTCTATTGGGTTGAGGCTTTCCATTAAATGCAGGTATATCCGCCTTCAAATTGACATCCCTAGACCGATGCACCCCACGTCGAGGCCTGCTATCACTATCATCATCACTCGACTCCAGACACGTAGCGCGATGGTGAAAAGGGTTGTATTCGAGATCATCTTGGGCCTAAAGATCACCATCTTGCTCTCGCAAGGAGCTACATAAATTGCTGAATTTGCCTTTTAAGGTCAATTTCTTCACCTCTGGGATCACGAAGTGGGTCTATGAAAGCCCCCTGCAATGGGCCCTTCTCGCTGCCCTAGATTCACCGAAATCCCAAACCCTAGTCAGAGAATCAACAAAACCCTTTCTGAAATCAGCAAGATCTAGAATGAATTTGGTAAAACTTGGCCCAAAATTAGTAAACCCTAGACTTGTTTGTAGTTTCTTGGATTAATTGTTGAAGAAAACTTGCTCTGATACCAAATTGATGTAGGGAAATTGATAGAGAACATTAAAATAGCACTTTAGGCCAAGCACAAGCACCAAAAAGAAGCTTTATGTTCTTCTTCAAACCCAACTACGGTTTCAAAAGCATGGCTCTTTCTTTCTCTTTTTTCAAAACCAAATCACAATAATGACCCATCTATGTAACTTGATATGTCATCAGTCTATTCCCACTCAGACTCAGACTCTACTTCCTTCCAATCTCCATTAAAAACCTCACAATTTGAATCTATCCCATGTAGATTCCTCTTCTTTTAAGGCAACGTTGTTGCCGGTCTCACTTGCGCAACTATGTAACCATCTCCATTAATTTATTGATTTCTTTGGGCAATCGGATCAGATCAGCATCCCTGTAGCAAAAACCTCCACGACCAGCCATAGCAATCTCTAACTGTCTTCAAATGATCTGCTACCAAGTCCGTGACGGTGGCGAAACACTGTAGCATTTCGCCTGTAGGTGTTTTTTAGGTTATATATATATATATATATATATATATAAAAGCCACTTTCTTACATCAAATGTCAAATGGCATGTTGGTTCGTGACGCAGACCTAGTAGCATGACCTACGGTTTTAGCAAAGGAGATAGGGAAGATCAAGAAATAGAGAAAGATTCAAAAACCCAAGGTAAAAAGAGCACTTGCTGCTCTAGGGTTTTGAATAGAAGTCCATAACATTATCCCCCATTATGCTTGAGTACATCCCTTATATAAGAAAACCCTAAAATAGACTTAATCCTAGCCATCCATCTAATCTAATCATGGCCCTTTATTACAAAAGACTTTAAGTGAATAAAAAGACATAAAAGACGATAGAAATTACTACTTATGCCCCAAAGTGAATAAAAAAGACTCAAGAAAATAAATAAAAGACATAAAAGGATAGACTAAATGACTAATTTCCCCTCTTGTGGTTGCTCCTGTAAACTATAAGCTTATCTATCTTGTCTAGATACACGAGAGCAATATTTTTAGCTACGTCAGTCCCCCCCTTCCTCAAAAGAATTCACCCTCGAATTTGATGACTTGTCGTTAGAGGTATCACCACGATATGGAATGAGATGCTTGACATTAAAAAACATCAGAAGTGCGAATATGGTTGGGAAGCTTCAATTCGTAGGCATTGTCATTAATCTTCTTCAAAATTTTGAACAGTCCTACCTTGACAAGACTTGAGAACAAGGCGTTCCATTCTATTGCATTCTCTATATGCATTTGATTAACCATGTCTTGGGCCCATTGGGAATTACCATACTTGTAGTACATAAGCACAACACACTTGGTCTCAAACACATCATAGAATACTCTACCATGAATTTTGAAGCGGATCAAGATTAATGATGAATTACACTCATGACTTCCTTCAATTTGCACATAATGATTAAATATAAAGGTTCTCCACTCAAAAAATAATAATAGTTCAAGCCAAACTCTAAAATCAGGAATTCACATATGCACCAATTGGATGGCTACCTTCTCTATCAAAGTCACTATCAAAAAGCGCATAGGAAAATATCACCAACCCTTGAGCGCACATCATGTGATACTCCATATTCAGGTAAAACATCAAGTAAAACAACATCCTTGCTGCCACCGTATTCTCCTTGATCCTCCTTTTCTTCACCTTGTTGTTCTCCATGGAGATTATCACCCATTAAATCATCATCAAAGATGGGATCGCACCCTCATCAAAGATGAGATCAATATTAAAGACATGATCACTATCTCCATCAAAAGGTTCCTTGCTAAAGATTGGATCACCATTAAAGCTACGATCACCCACTTTATTCTCAACATCCAAATCTTCATCCAAATACTTGTAAAAGACTGGCGGTGAATAGGGGGCAACGGGATGGGTCAGGGTCCGAAGGGACCGGGACCTGGACCTAGACTTGAATTCACCAAACCAGACCTAAAAATTAATATTTAAATATATTTCATATATTTGGATTCGAAAAATATTACCAAACCCGGACCCAAATAGTGTTCGGGACCAAAATTTGGACCCGTCCCCGACCTGTCGGGTCGAATTTTTGGACCCATACCCGGATCCAGATCGATTCTACCCATGGGTCCCTGGTTGGGTCCGGGTCCGAGTCCATTGCCACCCCTAGCAGTGAGTCTCAATCCATAGCATCCTGAGAACCATTTGCTAAGAACAAAGTTTTTGCATGGTTTCCCTCGGACAGATTTCCACAAAACTCCAGGATCTCAACTTTGAGACCGGTTTCCCACCTACTATTCCTATCCGTATGATCAACTACCTCTCTCCTTGGAGCTTTATCATGGAAGGGATTTATGGATTCCTCATTTGCCTCGATCTCATCCTTTTGAGATGTGACTTCCATCTACGCCAAACGCAAAGCTAGGGTTTCGACCCATCTCCTTAGATCTGCAATCACTTCTCGTGAACTAGCATCAAATGCTTATAAGGTTGTTGTTTTTCTTCCTTTTCCTCTGTGTGGAGGTATGGTTGATCTGGGCACAAAAATCGATGCTAAATTACAACAGTAACTTGCTACAGTGTAGTGCTCTAATACCAACCTAGCGTAGACCTAGTAGCTTGAACTAGGGTTTTAACAAAGAACGAGATAACAAAGATCCAGAAATAGAGAAAGACTAAAAAATCAAAGGTAAAAGAATGAGCACTTACTGCTCTAGGGTTTTGAATAAAAGTCTATCATTATCCCCCATTAGGCTTGAGTACATCTCTTATATACGAAAACCCTAAACAAGACTTAATCTTGACCATTCATCTAATCTAATCATGGCTATTTATTATTTAAGACTCTAAGTGAATAACAAAACATAAAAGACTCCAGAAATTACTAGTTATGCCCCTACGTGAATAAAAAAGACTCAAGAAATAAATAAAAAACATAAAATGATAGACTAAATGACTAATTTGTCCTTCTGTTGTTCCTCCTGTAAACTTTAAGCTTATCTCTCTTGTCTAGTTACGCGATAATACTATTCTAGGTTGCATTAGTTTGGTAGGCCGCACTTGGTATGCCTCTTTATGAGAGATCTTGGGTTTGATTCTCACAATGGGCTTTTTCACTCTTGTTTCCTATCCCCTTTGAAAAAAAGACTAAGCCTCAATAAGGGCAACGATTATTGGGGGAGCTCGAACCCCCACCACAATGGGAAATAGGCGTCCAAGAAGACATTTGAATGTTTTTTACTTAAAATCGACATAGAATAGGTGTACAACACACTTGGACGAAACTCGCTGCGCCCACAGGGAGAGGCCGAGTAACTCAGCCGAGTGAACTCAGCTGAGTCCCGGTACACTGGAAAGAAATCATGCATTACTCATGGCAACTAAGCTAGACTATTTCATTGTAGATATACTACTATCGAAAGCATTCACCAAAAAAAGGTAGCCAGCAAAATGCCAAGAAAATTGCATGTCTCACACAATCAAAGAGGTACCTGGTAAAAAGTACCATACGCTGCAGAGCTAGTGCTCGTTGTGTAGGAGGAAGGCTTTCAAATTCAGAAGCAGTAAAAGAGCAACCTGCAAAATCTTCTACATGATCAAATGCCCCAATTCGACGACAGAGTGATTCTGCAGTGGACTGCAGCACAAATGAGTCCCACAAATCATCACATTAATCAGTTCTTCCATAACTCCTTTTTGAAAGAATTGAGGATTTTCTGAAATGGCAGCACTTACTTTGTTATCCCCCGTCACTACTATGACACGTATTCCAGCAGCCATACATGTTAGAATAGCATTTTTCACTTCTTCTCTGGGTGGATCAAGCATTCCAACCTTAGCAGAATCACAAATAAAGACTAGTCACATAAGGAAACACGGGACAGGATGAATACGCATATGAAAAAAAATAAAAAATTGACAAATGGTAGTGATCCTCTCATGACTACAATTAATTTAACCAACACTCTGGTGATATGCATACCGATGAAGGTGCATGTATTAGATTGTTCAGAAGGGTAAATGAAATGAACATGAGTATATGCCATGGTGTGTATAGCAAGAAAGAAGAAAATTAACCCAATGTGGTGAGCAGATGAGTAAGTAGTCAGCATTTCATATACAAATTTATGCCAACAAGAAGGGGAAAAAGTAAGTTGGTGCCAGTGCTTCTTCCGAGAAGAGAGAACCAGTACAATAAGATACATTTTGCTTTTGCCAAAGAGGCTGAAGTCTTTGACTTCAGTATGCAAACCAAAGGAGGGCCTTCCGACCCAGCTCGCTGAATTCTTCAGCCTCTTTGACCTTCGACAGTTTGGTAAAAAATAGCTATGTACTTTGTTTATTGAATTCAATTTTTGCATTCCCCCTAATCATCCAAAGGATCGACGCAATCTCCTCCTCAGCAAAAACAAGAGCCCAGCAGGCTACCACATCTAACAACATAGGGGCAGAACAGGATTACCACTTCCCCAAGAAAATGAAGAACAGGGTTGTATATTCAAAGATACATGAAAAGTAGAATGCAGTGTCTTATCAACCATGTGATCACGAAATTCAGAACTAGACTACCCTAATTTCTGTTTACAAAGAGACACAAGAGATGATATGTCGCTGGGTTGGGATTTGTCAGATTAAAGTTAGATTTTTTCCATCACAAAGGCCAACACTTTATTCACCAAGATAGGTGCAACCATGTAAAATTTCCTCTGATGCACACATTAAACCCACTTTCAAGGCCATTGAAAATGTCTTCCACAGAAGCCACATCCCCCTCCAGGTATTGCACGCCTACCACGTCTGTTCCCATGAATCTTGATTCCCAAGGGATTCACAGGAAATCGCTTAACCTGTTATAATTATGTGGGTTCAGTTAATTATCAAAAACAATTGTGGGGGTTTATCTCAACAAGGTACAATGACCCAAAAGAGAGGCCTCCTGTCCACAGCAGTTAGTGGTCCTTGATCAGATGAGATTTTTTATCTTGTGCATGAATTTGCAGTTTGTGTTTATGTTCTTAGGGAACCAAAACGCACAGTGGACTGTTTACCTGAATTGACAGCAATTGGATGTGGTTTCCCAAAAGTGGGATTTCTTACTCCAAGAGATCTCAAGTAAAAATAGTAATCATATTAATTACCCAAAAAAAAATTAATCAAATATTATTAACATAGGGAGACAATAGAATCAAGAATGCTGCACACCTCAACCATAGGAATAATGCTTTGCCAAAGAGGTGCATGAATACAACCTCTTGTAAAGTCATCTTTCAATTACATCAACAATGCATGACCTATTTTGAATCACACAAGGTTGAGTCCAGCAATAAATTAAAAAGCAGGAATAAACGAATGATATGACCAAATAAAATGAGGCTATATAAATTGAATTAATGACACTAGGAAATGAGAACAGAGAATTAGAGAGAAATAAGATAGCTCTTTTTATGATTGGTGCTCGATTAGCATTTACTGAAAGTTGAGAAATAACCCCAACAGTGTTGTATACTTAATGAAGCTACATTTGATACATTTTAAAATTCACAACCCCTAAAGCCTCAATAGGTTCTACACGGGTAAAATTACTTCATGCATCAATGAAACAACATACCAAGCCAATAAATGTGAGATTTGTCTCATCATCAAATGAAATAGTTTGTTGACCTGTGGGCATTCGTTTCAAAGCAAAAGCCAAACATCTGAGGGTTTCTTCCCCTGCAAGGCTGTCCATTCAAACGCTTAGTTAGAAACACCAGTCTCAAGAAAACAAGGAAATACCAATACCCATGAGTTATCTAATGCACAATTGCTTAAAAATGAGAGCTGAACTCATGCTGAATACTTTGAAAACTTAGGTAAAATCACCAAAAGAATTATGTGAATAGCCACATCTGTAAACATAAAAATAGAAATGGCCAGGGCATGGAAACCGATGCACAAGGAAATAAACAATGAAGTCAGAAAAGAGAGGGGGGGCAGTTCAATGGGGATGGGGTCCCCTAACCGCAGTAAGAATGGACCTCAAGATGTCATATTGCAGCAACCCACCACCCTGACCACCTAGTCTTGAGTTCATTTCCCAGTAAAGGCAGAAAACGTACGTCAGAAGCAAGAGAACAAAGGAAAAACCTACCTGTGGAACCTAGACTCTAACTCAGCCCGTATATCCGCAGTAAGTGGAACAGCAGAACCATCATCATTGCATAAAATATTTGAACATCTGGCAATTATACTCTCTGGAGCACCTTTTGAAAACAATATCTCCTGCTGCTTTCGGCTGCAGAGCACACTCATCATTTTACGGTCTCGAGAGAATTCCAGAACAGCAATCTGCAAATTTGCAGAACTGCTTGTGTAAGCCACCAAATAAAGGACATTATATCTTGAAGATTATAGGAGGAAAGTGCGCAAGTCTAACATAAAGAGAATTCGAGAAGTGTAATGAAAAGGAATTCTGAAAGATGACATGAAGTGGTAGCAAAATCATTTTGATTGCAGAGAGAAAATGAAGAGCATAACTTCTTTCACAGGACCCCAAGTATCTTAAAAAATAAACTTATTACCCCCCTTCTCATTCCATGTATTCAATGCAAGAAAACAAGACTCGGCCTTATGAAGTACATAGTGCGGTAAACAATGTAATATATTTCCAATGTTTTAAATTTTAACTAGATATACTAGGAAATATCGAATAAGTAGCAGAACAGAAGCACAGATAATAGCTCTAATAATGTTAATACATAAGCACAAATAAACGATGTAGAATAAGTAGAAGAATGCCAGGAAACTTGCCAGTAGATTTCTAATGTTTTATATTTCCTACAACGTATTATAAGGAATCTAGAATGTAGAATAAGCAGTAGTGTCATTAATATTATCAAAACGATGTAATACATAGGAAAGTCACATAACAGCACGAAGAACTTTCAATCTGTTGACTGAGAAGAAGAAGGCTGGGAAAGCAAGAAATATGCCTAGAGCATGTTCAAAAGCAAACCTTTTTAAATTGCTGCTCCCAATAGCGGTTACAGTAAGATGCACGTTCATGTTTGCTCAGCATGTTCAGGGCTGAAGGCATGGAATCGAAACCAGGAAGTCCAACCTAATTAATAGTCAAAAAATAATCAGAAACAATGAAAAAAGAATGTGAATTATAACCTAAAATATTTTAGTCTGCATATGTAGTTAGGGATAACCAAAATGTTAGGAAACCTTCTCAGCAAGAACCCGAAGGGAAACTTCTGTTGACTCGCCAATTTTATCATAATTCCCTTTATCTGGGTTATATTGCAAAGTGGACTCATTGCAAAGGGCTGAACACATAGCTATGTGCAGAAGACATGGGAATTGAGCAGGGAATTCAAGCTGAAAAAACAACCAATAAACCTCTTAATACTGCCCAGTCGATCAGAAGCAACACGCACAACATCATCAATAAGTAGGACAAAAGCGCTTCAGAACAGAGAAGCACGTTAGTATCTAACTATTCACTAAAACTAGCCCAAAGCAGGGTTCTGTTCATCACAGAAGCTAATACACACTGAGACATATTTCAGATCAGAAGAGTGGCTCTCAATTACCACAGGCATGGCTAAGAAACTTAGAAACTAGAAGCAGACATATCTACAAGAACGATTTCATACAGAAGCCCAGAGGGAGAATCAGGTAGATCAATAACTTGACAAAAACAACTTCAATCATAACTTCCAAGTATCTAAGGGCAGATCTCTCTCTCTCTCT